GGAGTGTAGACTAGTGCAACCATTATGGAGGTCAGTCTGGAGATTTCTCAGAAAACTACGACTGGAAGCCCCATATGACCCAGCTATACTGCTTCTAGGCATATTCCCAGAAGAACTGAAAGCATCATACCACAGTGATATATGTGCACCCATGTTTATAGCAGCACCATTAGTAATAGCCAGATTTTGGAAACAACCTAAGTGTCCATCAATTGAAGAATAGATAAAAAAGCTGTGGTATTTTTATACAATGGAATACTACTCAGCTATAAAGAATGACCACATTGAGACATTTATAAATAAATGGACGCAGCTTGAGACCATACTCATAAGTGAAATAAATCAAACTCACATGTATAAATACCGAATAGTTTCCCTAGTGTAAGAAATGATAAGAATACACAGAAGCATGTGGTAATCATGATTCCCAACCATATTGGTTTGAAGCCATATAATGTTTTCACTCATTAACCGCAATGGTTTTAACCTGGGTTGTTTGATTTTAGTATCTATGATAGCATGAATAGCTATTTTGAAGAAACAACACAACATAAAAGCTAGTGCTGATTTAATATCGTTGTTTTGAAGTCCCATCAAGCTGTAGTACATCTGTTTCCACTGGTTTTAACATGTTGTATCTTACTATATTTCACTATATGCTATATTATAAACAAAACTCTTTATAGACAAAGAGATAATATAGAAACCATTGTTTGTTTTCTATTAGCAGGTTCTAAATACCCTGTAATTCTTGCATTCTCTTGAAACGCTTCACACTGTCTAGATATGCTTGATATTATAGCATGCGAAATTACACTCAAATAATTAAAGGAAAGAGGCACTATGGTGACTACTATTATGTTAGGTTATCTGGCGGTGAATGATGCTTGAATTGCTCGGTTCTGCCCTGCGTTGTTCTATTACAATGTCCTCTCTTATCTCAATCTTCCCCCTATTTTTAAATTAATCTATTTTCTCTCATTTTTTTAATTAAGGGAAAACTAAATTAAAAAATAACGGGACATATTATAGTAACTTTTTTGTTGTCCTGTTAACCTGACTTGAACGCCAGTATTGCTCTCCCCATCTTGTTCTGTCTGATTATTATATATTATATTTTGTTTGATAGTATCAAGTTTGAGGGTATAGGCAATAACTTTGAAGGCAATAAGATATACTGTGTTGCCCAATATAGTTTGACTATCATCCCCCTTTTTTTTTTTTTTTTTTGAAGTCCTGTAAGGTCCTCAGTGTAGATTTTGTTGGTTTTGTTCTGTATTGTTTTGATCAATTCTATTATACCTGATGATATAGACAACTCCATTTAAAAATAGCAAGAGGCACAATGGTAACCACTTTTGATCACCTGGTATTCTATTTTTGCATCACGTGCTATGCCCACACTTCTGTTCTAACTGACTCTGTTTTGCTTAGTCACATTTGTTTTTATTCTCTTCAAAAAGTAATAAGAACCATGAGAGTAATAAAACCCTAAAAAGCCTAATTGTTACTGTAAAAAAGAGAGGAAAGTAAGATGGACTAAGGGATATATCCACAGATATGTTCGAGAGTGTAGGATGGAAAACCATATAACTGAGCTTTTGTTGGATTACTGAACGAAACTGTCTCCAATTTCACTGTATGAGTGTTCATTTATATGCTTTAATTTAGTGATATGGACAACTGTTTCTGGGAAGATAATGTGTAGCCTAACTGGTGATTTCGTACTGTATATATTTTTCTAGAAATACTGAATTATTTGTACCCTTTTACTGCATTTTTATGTCCTTTTTTTTTTCTTCTCTCTTTAAATAAAAAAAAAAAAGACATCCCTTGCTCATGGATAGGAAAAATAAACATTGTGAAAATGGCCATTCTCCCAAAACTCTTATACAGATTCAATGCAATCTCAATAAAAATACCATCAACATACCTCATAGATCTTGAGACAAAATTGTGGTATTTTTATACAATGGAGTACTACTCAGCTATACAGAATGATCACATTGAGATATTTATAAATAAATGGGCGCAACTTGAGACCATACTCATAAGCAAAATAAATCAAACTCACCTGTATAAATACGTTGTAGTCTCCCTAGTGTAAGAAATGGTAAGAATACATAAAAGTAATCATGATTCCCCATTACACTGCTTACACCTTATAATGGTGGCATCCATTAGCTGGAATGAGTGTATCCTGGTTTGTTAATTTTATTGTCTGTGATGGTATGAACAGCTATTTTGAAGAAAACAAGTCATTATAATAGCCAGTGCTGATTTAATATCATCTTACTCTGAAGTCATACCATGATTTTGTTCTTCTGTTTACATTGGTTCTATCATGTTGTTTCTTATTGGATTGTATTATGTGTGATAGTATATACAAATTTTCTATGGAAAATGAGATAATAGAGTAGCTATTGTTCGTTTTCTGTAATTTGGTTCTGAATGCCCTGTAATCCCATTGTCTTGTGGTTTTATACTATTTTATGCATTGTATATGAAGTTATGCTGAACTATTTTAAAGAAAGAGACATTGTGGTAGTTACTGTTAATTATGGATTGTCCTCTGGTGAAATATTGTGCTGTTTATGTTTTTCTGTTCTGATCTGCTTTGTTATGTACTGTTTTGCCTTACTCTTTAAAATAAAAAAAGGAATTACAGACTTTGTATCCATCTCTGAAAATGTATACAAATGCACACAAGTCGTTTTCCTAGAAGTCTTTAACATAAAGTTCATTATTTTAGTAATCAAATTCCGCATAACATCATTTGTATTAGGCAGTAGACAAATTCTTTTAGAGATTACTTCATAACGGTCTATCTGACATCTTATCAGGAATGGTTTGCCTCAATCCCTGCTAAGCTTGCTCCTACAGCCTTTTTTCACTCACTATGCTCCCTTAATTCCTGTTAATCATTTTCTTCTTTTTTTAGTACTAAGAATAGAACCTAAAGCCTATGCACTGAGTTAGATTCTACTTTATTTATTCATTTATTACAATTCACTAACTCCTTCAGTCATTCATTGTGAGGTATAGGGATTCACTAAATCGCTAAGATGTTCAAGCATGGTTTGAATTTAAATTCTGTTTTAGCCTCCCAGAATGCTAGGATTATAAGTGCACAACACTGCCATACCCAGATCCTGTTGATTTCTTCAGAATATAACTCTGCCACACTGACTTATCCATCTGTTTACTCTCAGTATCCTTGTACTATCTGTCTCAAAAAGTAAGATCTTTGTCTAAGGTCAGTGACTTCTTCAAATCTTATGATTTTCCTCTACTCTCCGGAACTTTAACAATCTAATGCATCGTTCCTCTTTTCCCAGCTCTTTATCTGTATTATAATCACAGTATCCTTTTATTAGGCTTTTTGGTTGTGGTTTATTTCTGTCTGTGTGAACATGCATGTTTCTGTGTTAAGCCTTTGACATTCTTAGCGTGCAGCACAAAGCTAAGGCAGTAGTCCTTGCATTAGTTAGTGATTGTTGAAAAGGGAAGAAACAGCACTTGGGACATGGATCAAAGTACAAGCTTTTCAAGACAAGTTCATCAAAAAGTGTATTACCTCCTCAGAACTCCCAGTCCAAAAGTGACCAGTGTTGTCATGAGATGAAAATTTAAGAATTCAAACGTGCTGTTCTCATGAATTAAAAGTATAGTTTCAGCAACTTCAAGCATCTTCAGTTTGTGCGATATATTGATTTTATTATTTTTCTTTCTGATACAAAGCAGTCTATAAATAAAAATGTTTTAAACTGCAAAAATTAACTATGGTATCACCTTTTCTAACTCAAGTTATTTTATTTCCAATATTTATGCAGGAAAAAAAAAAAGAATGGAGTTTCCACTCACCATTCAAGGTGGATGTAAATCAATCAGCCATTATTAACTCTTAATGTTCTTCTCTGTTAGTGATCATTAGCATTAGAATAAACTTTTAAAAAGCCTCTATGTTAATGTGAATAAAATGGAACTAGGTTTATCCAAATAGAAATAATAATGAGATGCTCCCCTTTGATATGACTATATTAAAATATAAACTATTTAAGAAAAATGCATTTCTGTATATTAGGTATCTCCTGACTTGGACCAACATGATGAGGAAGAATAAAATGAAAAACCCATTATTTTGTAAAACTCATAGATATACTATTCAATTATTTCTCTACTGCATCATGTTTGACCAAGAAAATCAAAGCTGATAAGCGAAAACTCAAGCTCTCGTGTAGGTTAGGAATTTCTACTATGTATTTGTCAAATTCTTAGAGGAGATTTAGTGTTACAGTGCTATATTTTTTTCATGTTTATTCTGTCTTTCAGGTAAAAAGAAAATATATTAATGTAATGTGCTATTAATTATTGTTTTAAAGTGGCATTAGACAAAAATATTAAAAATTCATGAAAATACTATTTCCCTTTTGTTTGGGCTACCAAAAGATGCTGAAAGAAATAACTCAACAAAGGACCATACTGTAATACAGCAAGATAATCACTGGCATTATAAACAAAGCCAGCTGACATTAATAATTGAGAAAAAATTCCCTGTGGAGGTTTCTATGAGCTACAGGCACAATGTGTGAAATCACTTAGCTAACTGATCGTAAATTATGTTCTAGACCAAAGGAGTATATATTAAATAACCAGTTCTACTCTACTTTCCTAGCCCAATAATTTTTCTAACATAATAAATACAGCTATTATATATTCCCTTTGATGAAAAATCATCCCCATTAGAACCTGATGTTTTTAAGCTCTATACAGGAATATTCAATATAAATAAATGTGATAAGGAAACCATAACTTTCCTAAAGTTTAAATGCAAATTTGTTGAATTGTAATGGAAACTATTTTATTGTTGCCAGTATCCAACTGTTTGCACACCTGACCTTTAAACTAAAGTTACTTAACAAGTCTTTAAAATTTTGTTATAATGATTTTTATTTTTCTTTATTTTCTATGTTTCTAAAAACCGTTTTCTACCTTAACAGGGTAATCTTTATGAAGAAAATTCAGTGCTGATAAATACACTGGGATAAAGAAAATTTCTGTGACCAAGGATGGCTTCTTCCTGGAAACTCATTCTGTTTATGTCAGTCATCGGGTATCTTTCAGGTAAAACACTCTACCAATTATCTGGTTTTCTAAGCATACTAAAATTTAACAATGTTTCCATTAAAAAATGTTTTCTAGTGTCTGTTTAAATTCATTTCAATATTGATTGTTTCCAACAAAAAGTAGACCAATCATTCAACCTCTTTTACCATTGCAAATAGTCATTCACAACTTAATAAAGTACATTCTAAATACATAAATTGTTTTGTGAGCATTATTGGTTCAAGACATGCTTGTAAGCCAAAGCACTTGTATATTAAGGGAAATTTCCCAATAAAGGAAATATAATCCCATTCCACAATCCAAAAATATTCATGTAAGTGATTAAAATCTCTAAATAAAAAATACTGTAAATAATACAAAATAATGAATAAAATGCCAAATATAGAGAAAACTAAACTAATTAATCACCTCTACTTTTGAGAACATTCCTAGCTGGTGTGAAGAAGATGAAAAGAGAGTTATTGAGTAAGGCAACTTTCACTACCACTAATCGAGTCAAGATATTTATTGACTGAACGAATTTTTTTTTCTTTTTTTGCAACTCTAACAGGCAGTTTATCCAGTGATACTTCCTTTTGTCTCCATTGGGGGAGTTCGTGGAAATGTGACATTGCATTGTTGCTAAACAGATTCATTATTAGTACTATTACAAGCTGATAAAGTAGTGCTTTTCTTTTTTTTAAATAATTTAATCCATATTACATATACATACCAATCGCATTTATCATCGGGAATTTATACCTGCACATGAGGTATCTTGATTCCTTCTTTTTCCCAGTTCCCCTCCCATTCATTCAACATGTCTTCTCCTTATTTACAAGTATCTGTTTCTATTTTTCCTTCTATTCTTTATTTTTCTTGTCCTTTCTTTCCTTTCATCCTCCCTCTTCACCTCTTTCCCTTTGCATTTGAACATTCTTCCTATGTCACAGTATCTACCATACATTTAGGCCATTATATATTGTTTTCTCCCACAGAGTCACCATGAGATATTTGAACATTGCATGCCCAAATTATTTCACTTAAGAGTATGGTCTCAAGGTGCATCTATTTACTTATAAATATCTCATTTATCCTTTCTATGGCAGAATTGTATTCCATTCTATAAAATAACTATATCTGTGATATATATTATTTCAATTATGAGCAGAGAAAAATAATCGATATCTAAGAGTCATGAATAATTTCACAATGTTTTCTCGTACATCATATGTCCTTTAGATGTAGGAAACATGCATCTTCAACTTTTCTGTTTATCTAATAAGAAATCTAGAAATGCCTTAAACAGATTAAAGTATTCTCTAAATTTGAGTAACAAGGAATTAGCTAGGTTTAAAAAGGATTTTCAGCACTGTTTCATTCATTTCTCCTCCAGACATACTTGTTTCATTTTTGTATGCCATAGTTCCTGGGTCTTCGAAGCCAGTTATTTTTTACCTGATCAGTGTGTGTCACCAAGCAGTTCACTCTCCAGGTCAGAGCTTTATGAAGTAGAAGCCAGAAGATCTAATTCAGATGTTATTTAATGTGTACTGTTACTTAAAATCATTTTATATATTTTGTCATTTTTATATGGCTTTGCTTTTTTCCTTTAGATATATTTATATATACTTTTCATTTTTCAGGAAAGAAATGATGACCTGAAAACCTTCATATCTATTTTCAAAATGATTAACTTTTATGTAATGACAATCCATGTTAGTGTGAAGATTCTAGATCAGGAGTAAAAAGAAGCAACGTATAATATACGTATTATGAAGACAGTTTTTGAAATGATGACTTTTGACAATTTAATCATTACCTGAGATAACTTGCGGGTCAAATTATCTAGTTTTTGTTAAGTGAGGAATGAGGTGAACAAAGAAAAGTAATGTTTTCCAAATTTTTTTTCATAGCTCCTAAATTTTATATAGTAGAAAGCTTACTTAGAAGTCCTGCCTTACCATGCAGGTGGACAGAATGAGGCAGGAAAGCTTCAGATGCGCGAATGCCTGGCCAAAGGCTGACTTCCCCACCTGGAAGGCGAGGGGCTGAGGCTCCTAAGTGTGACAAAGTAAAGAGGATTCTCATTAATAAGCTGGGGATTAAATTCATGAGAGCTTATATTTTATATGAAAAAGCTGTTATTATAAATTATTGTAAAAGCTGTTGTTATTTTAAATTCATTGTTTTCACATGGTGGATTTTTGTGAAGTGAGCCTTTATGAACACGAACACGGCTTAGGCCAAGATCTCTAAATCATTTTCTCATAACATTTAGCACATTCTACTCTACTTGCACGATGACTTAGATTAGTCTATTTTCATTTTTCACACAACATTTGACTCCGCATTTGCGTGATCTATTTGAAACTGCCGACTTGGCAAAATGTGGCATTTAAAAAAATGAATAATCGTTGTTTTATTTTTGCCATGTAAATAATGTAAGACAACTATAAGCATATTACATGAATTTTTTTTCCATTTGTGCAGTTTAAATTATTCAGTTTGTGGTTGGTAGTATAGCTCAGTGGCACAATGCCTGCCTGTCAAGCATGAGATCCTGAGTTGGATTCTAGGTACAAATAAATAAATAAATAAATAGTATGGAGAGAGATAGAGGTAGGGTACAATGTTAAAAATTTTCAGATTTCTTTAAATCTATCTATAGGATTTTTTACTAAAATTCAGAGTGATCATTTTTGATTTAAAGAATTTTGGAGTTGGAAGTAACCTTGGTCACCATCTCATCTTTTTTCCCTATGGAAAATATTTCTTACCATGAAGTACTCACTAGCATGCCGTTAAGACGACAGGATATCTTTTTATCATGTTAGCCTGAAATGGCTCCTTTCTAACAATCTTCTTTCCGTGGTTATTTTTAGGAACAGCACACCTATTCTGAGGTCTTCCTTGGGACAGTCTTTACAAATGGCTGAGAACACAGATATTCTGTGTCTAAATCTGCTTTTCTTCAGAGTACACATTCTCATTTCGCCCATCATTTCCCAGTGATAAGGACTGATCATCCCTTACACCCTTTTTACATAGCCACAGCAGGTTCCTCATGTCTCTCTTCCAGATGTTGTCTGACAAGAACAGAGCGCAGGGCCGCCATACAGTTTGCAGTATGGAGAATATTTCCTCTAACAGTTTTAGAAAACATTTCTGCTATTGAAGTATGACAACCTCCAATACTTCTTTTTCATTTTAAAATTTTTGTCTTTGGTCTTTATTTATTTTGTACATAATCTTCATTTTTTCTCTCCTGAAAAATGATCCTCACTGGAGTCATTTTCTATACAAGCACAGTAATATTGCTGCTGTCACAGATGGAACAAAAGCTTAAACTTGTGCTGTCTTAATTTATTTTATCCAAAAATTTATGATGTTCCTCACAATAAGAATAAACAGTATAATAATTTATTGAACTTGAATACTGAGCTTCATCTCCTTTCTAAATTAAAATAACTATTACATCTTAAATGATAAGAAAATGACACAATTTATATTTTTATAAATCTGAGAAGATTTGAAATGATTTTTATATTTTTTTAAATTATGGATAAAAATTTTAGTATCTAACAAACTATTAGTATAGCATTAATGAAAGTCTTCCTTCTGGGGGCTGGGGATTTAGTTCAGCGGCGTAAGCACCTGCCTTGCAAGCTGATAAAAAGTTAAAAGAAATTTAAAAAAAAAGAAAGTCTTCCTTTTGGAATGTCAGTATGTCACTGTTGCCTCTTAATATACTTATAAAAGAAAGGTAATAAAAAACTAAAATTTGTATTTTCTAGGTAGCAATTTTTACAATATTTTAAATTCTTTAAAATTTTTTTATCCTTAGAAATTAGAACATTCTTTTTTCATATATAGGATTTGTTTTCATAACTTTTCTGCTTCTGATAAACATTTTTAACATAAGGGAAAAATCTGTCTGACAATAATCATAACTGGAAATTTCTAGATATGGGAGGTGAGAGTTGAGTCACCTGAATTAGCCACTTTTGTTATTTTTGTCTTAAAGGCAAAACTTACTATTTTATGAAGCAGGACAAGATGCTCTTGAATGAAATATTATTGAAAGTAGAGAACTTGTATCTCCTCTATAATGAATAGCTATTTTCTTTACTAAATTTATATCTCTTAGAAATAAAAAAGTAAGACCTTGTGTGATTCAAATCTGAATTTGTGCAAGTGAAATATAGTTTGTTGCTGGTAGGAATGGGACTTGAGTTGATTCTGCCTTCGTGTGGATGGTAACAGGTGGAATATAATGAGAGGACTCCATCGCAGTAACACACAACATGATGTTTTAAATATTAGTGAAGGATTCAGTCCAGTCAACTGGAGAGACAGTGACCTTCTTCCAAGACTATATAAGTTCCTTTAGTTACTTTTCTTTAAGATGTTTCCACTGTAACTATACTGCTTAAAAAACAACATCAGAGCTCTCTCTACTTTGGCCTTCTTTTCCTCAGTTGGAATAAATTTATTTTATTTAAAAAGCGGCAGTTTGTTGTTTCTGCCAAGTTGATGATGTACTGTTGTTCAGAGAGTGGCTGTCATTGATAAGCTTATACATCTCTTCTCTGGGTGGCAGTGTGGTAAATAGCATAGAACTTTATCACTGCCAGTTAGCACTGCCTAAGAACTTATAAAGGAGAATGAAAACAAAAGTGCCTCTGCAAACAGGTGCTTGATAATATTAATTTTGACTGGTTTGTTGCACTTGGGAGAGAGAAATGGATTATGGTTCCTCCACAATCATTTTTAAATTATATGTTTGCACATTGTATTTTTCCCCTGAGAAGTTACAGTGGAGCCTACTCCAGTGTGGGAATCCAAGCTGTCTTATCAGCTGTGCCCTGTTGGTACTGGACATGTAATTAACCAGAAAACAATTTAATTTTTCCTTGTCATTGGGACAGCAGACAGGGATGAGGGTTGGGTTATCTGAATTAGTCAGCTTTGTTATTTTTATCTTAAAGGCAAAGAAAATAATAGAAGCTACCTGT